TTGGAAACCGCTTTGTAGAAATGCATAAATGTAAATAAATAAGAAGAACATTTTCCTTTAAAATATCCACTTACATTTCAGAAGCTCCGCTCTTTTCTCTGCAGTAGAAATATCTTTTGTCAGAGAGTCTGAATGATCTACAATGAAGAAAGAACAGAATCCAAATGAGGGATAGTTAAATGAAACTAAAATGAAAATAAAACAAGTCAGTTGTAAAGTGAATTGGGGCATAAACTTGGAAATAAAGGTGATTAAACCGGGTTTCCACCTGGCAGCTCTCTGGGCTCAGCAGAAGGGGTGCGTCCTCTGGGTCTGACCTCCCCAAAGTTCAACAGATTATCTATGGATTTGTTCAGTTTCGCTTTCCCCATCGCGTCCGCGGGGGGCTGGGCCGGCTTTTTGCTGCTTTCTGAGGAAAAAAGATCCATCAAATCAAATCAAATCGAATCTAGCCACCAAACAAAAGGTTAAGTGGAGCTCCAGCTCCAAATGATGAGAGCCCCAAATTAAGGCCATCTAGAAATCATATCCACCTTAAGCCTTGAAATAAATTATTTATACTGCATAATACTACCACTACTACTACTACTACTACTACTAATAATAATAATAATAATAATGATGATAATAAAAACTGATCAAACGCTGAAAGATATTTACTTTAAGATGAAAATAAAGATAAATCCTCAGCTTTACATTTAACATTTATATCTATATATTTCTATCTAAATTCAGATCTCATTTTAAATTAGATTACATTTATATTATTTATCTATCTGCATGCTCATTTTTTACATTAAATTTTTTTGTGCAGGTTAGAATGATATATTTAGCTTTTTCAGTGCTTTAAAAGACTCCAATCAAATAGGTACAATTAAGATATTCATATTCATATTCAAACAAGATATTCAAATGTTATACATCTATAATAAATTAGTTCTCAGTGGTTTGCATTTCTTACATAAAGGTTCTGTTAATTTTATATCGAATCAATATTAATTGAATAAATTCAAATGATTTTATTTATCTATGTGCATGCTAATTTTTTACATTTAAATGTTTTTTTTTGTGTATGTTAGAACTTAAACGGCTTTCGGACGAGAGGGGAAAAGTCGACTCAAAGGCAGATGAAAGGTCCTGCTCCCATCCCCTGGACCTCCAGTAGGGGGAGCGTTTCCTTACTCTGAGTCTTCTTCTTCTGGGCTGCTTTGGCCTGAGAAGCTGGACTGGCCGGCCGGGGGAGTCTCACCGGCACCGGAGGAAACCTGAGCTCTGGAAACACAAACAAAAAGGCGTCTCGCTCACAGTCTGACGACTCGGCTTTGAAACATGAACTCGTCCCTCTCAGATCCACCTACCCGGGTCCTGGAGAAGGCCTGCTGGGCCCAGGGCCGAGCACCCTGGGGCAGAAGCTACCGAGCCGTCTGAAAACACAGCAGATCTTTAGCTCTTCTTCCCACTGGCCTCATACTGGTCTTCTACTGGTCTTTGATTGGCTTCCTACTGGTCTTCGACTAGTCTCCAACTGGCCTCCTGATGGCCTCGTACTGGTCTCCTACTGGTCTCCTACTGGCCTCCTACTGGCCTCCTGATGGCCTCGTGCTGGTCTCCTACTGGTCTCCTACTGGTCTCCTACTGGTCTCCTACTGGCCTCCTACTGGCCTCCTACTGGTCTCCTGCTGGCCTCCTATTGGCCTCCTATTGGCCTCCTACTGGTCTCCAACTGGCCTCCTGGTGGCCTCCAACTGGCCTCATGATGGTCTCATACTGGTCTCCTACTGGTCTTCGACTGGCTTCGTACTGGTCTCCTACTGGCCTCCTACTGGTCTCCAACTGGCCTCCTACTGGCCTCCTACTGTTGGCCTCCTACTGGCCTCCTACTGTCCTCCTACTGTTGGCCTCCTACTGGCCTCCTACTGTCCTCCTACTGTCCTCCTACTGTTGGCTTCCTACTGGCCTCCTACTGTCCTCCTACTGGTGGCCTCCAACTGGCCTTATGATGGTCTCTTACTGGTCTCCAACTGGTCTCCTACTGGCCTTCTACTGGCCTCATACTGGCCTCCTGATGGCCTCCTACTGGTCTCCTCCTACTGGTTTCCTACTGGTCTCCTACTGGTCTCCTACTGGCCTCTTACTGGTCTCCTACTGGCCTCCTACTGGTCTCCTGATGGCCTCCTACTTGTCTCCTGGTGGCCTCCAACTGGCCTCATGATGGTCTCCTACTGGTCACCTACTGGTCTCCTACTGGCCTCCTATTGGCCTCCTATTGGCCTCCTACTGGCCTCCTACAGGTCTCCTACTAGCCTTCTTACAACCTCCTACTGGCCTCCTACTGGCCTCCTATTGGCCTCCTACTGGCCTCCTACAGGTCTCCTACTGGTCTCCTACAGGTCTCCTACTAGCCTTCTTACAACCTCCTACTGGTCTCCTACTGGCCTCCTACTGGTCTCCAACTGGCCTCCTACTGGCCTCCTACTGTCCTCCTACTGTTGGCCTCCTACTGGCCTCCTACTGGCCTCATACTGGTCCCCTACTGGTCTCATGATGGTCTCCTACTGGCCTCCTACTGTCCTCCTACTGGTGGCCTCCAACTGGCCTTATGATGGTCTCCTACTGGTCTCCTACTGGTCTTCGACTGGCTTCGTACTGGTCTCCTACTGGCCTCCTACTGGCCTCCTATTGGTCACCTACTGGACTCACCTGCTCTGAGTATTCTGGCCTCGACGGGCTGCTGGAGGATGTGGGTCAGATGTCTGTGCAGGCCGGCGGCGAAGGCCTCAGAGGACAGCACCTTCTTGGAGTCCAGGCTGAGCCGAGGGGTGTAGGGGTCAAAGTTCACCGCCTGGGGAAGGGTGAAGGATGCCTAAAGCAGGGGAGCAACGTGGTCATTTCTTTGATGGAGGAAGAGGCTCAAAAAGGTCAAGTTGAGACGAGAAAGCAGGAAATAAATCTAGAAAATCCAGTTTGACTCATTGGAAAAGTCGAACTTTTAAAAGAAATGAATCATTTAGCCATCAGGCACCAGCCTGACAAACACTTCCATCACAAATCAGATTTAACTCTGGTCTGAATGGACAGAAACTCACTTAAAGTGCTTAAAAACAAGGAATCCAACAGCCACTTTGACAAATATTATATCTAGACCAAGAAAATTACTCTAAAAAAGGTAATTTCTGTTTGGGTCAGACAGGCCCAGATTCACTTAAAAGGAAATATATATATATTTAAAGGCAGATCAGTTAAAAGGAAATGTATATATAATTATATATATATATGTATATATATAGATAGATATTATATATATGCATGATTATGCCTTTTTTTATACATATAAAAAAAAAAAGGGAAGGGAATCATCATTCAGATACAGTTTTATTTACAAAAGGGGGGTTTAGAAAATTCTTAAAGTAAAAACAAAGCAGAAAATTCAACTATATTAGGGATTTTGTTGGTTTTGGCTCATAAAAAAACTATAAAAACTGAGTTTTAAGGTTTGAAGGACCCCTCCAGAAGGAGGAATCTCCTCCTGTGTCAGAGTGGATGCGGATTTTCCAGACGAATAAAACTAATAAAGTGAGCGTGAGCGCCCCCACCTGGAGGAAGCCCAGCGTGCGGGACCGGTTCAGCTGGGCCTGGATGTCCTGCTTGGCTTTGTTCATGTTGTCGATGTTCTCGGTGAACTTGGACACCAGCCCCCGGATCTTGGTGCGGCCGCTCTCCACCTCCTGGTCCACCAGGCCCAGAGCAACCTGCTCCTCCCCGCTCAGCAGATCCCGCATGAGCTGGAACTCAGCCGAAAGGGCTCCTTTCCTCTGGGCGGCAGAGTCCTGGAGGGGAAGAGGACGCCAGCAGAAGGCTGTTCAGGGAAAAACAAACTAGGCAAAGCAAGGCAAGGCATTTTTAT